CACAGAACTTTCAAATAAAGGATTTTATTCTTTCAGGCAGTGTAGGTGATTTTTTGTTGTTTAGTTCATAAATCCATTAAGTACATGAAGATCAATCAGTATGGCTGTCTCTGTGTGGATGTGTGCACACATTAGAAGAAAATAATTTAAAAGTCCAGTTTTGTAGAGGGTCCACATTGAAACATTCTTTTAAAAATAAAATATGGAAATGCAATGAATTATTTTATATAACAGTGATATTAATATTTATATAAGGAACTATAACCAAATGAAGAGTCACTATTTATAATAAATCCATTCACCCACTACAACACAATACTGTAAAGAATATAAATTGACAATTTATCAGAAGACTAGAAAACACTTAAATGAATTGGTTGTTGCCTTTCAATGAGCAGAAGCAAACAGTGATTTAAGGTTTTTGCCTTCAACTCTGGTTATTTCTATCATATGACTCAGGTTGGTGCATTAACCAGGACTATTAAAAAAAAATCAACTCCACAAAGGTAGCTGGGGCATAAAAGCTCTCGCTAAAGTAGGGATCAATTTAACAGAATCATCCAGCAAAACAGAACATCAAATGTAGCCAGCGCACCCTCATATTAGTGCTAGATGAATTATACCCAGATTTTTCCAAAACTTTATAAACACAAACAAAGATCATTTTAATGCTACAATATGTTTCATATTTTGGCTCTAAATCCAGCACAGTACACAGATTCTGCATTAATGCAGTTATCTGAACTTTGACATTGGATGCTTGATTGTGGGTCATATACTAGATTTTTAAACATCTCCAATCCCGAAAACATTAACACACTGAATACTGCCTACATTTGAAATGTATACATATTGGACTAGTAATGAGAGTAATTGGGATCTTCCAAAATATATATAAAAAAATTGAAGAATCACTTAAAATATTTCTCTCCCATTAAGCAGTTTATATTTTTGTCAGAAAACCTGTGTTCTTGGAAAACTGCAGTTAACTAAAAGACTCAGAAATGATTATTTCTGTACAGGCAGTCCCCGACTTACGTCGGATCCGCAGTTACGAACGCGGCTTTTCTCGCCCCGGAGGACACCGACTGCGGGACATCGCGGTCCCGCCGCCCGTGTACTCCGGGGCAAGAAAAGCTGCTCCGCGTCTCCCTGGTCTGCAGACCAGGAAGACGCGGAGCAAAGCTAACTAAAAGACTCAGAAATGATTATTTCTGTACAGGCAGTCCCCGACTTACGTCGGATCCGCAGTTACGAACGCGGCTTTTCTCGCCCCGGAGGACACCGACTGCGGGACATCGCGGTCCCGCCGCCCGTGTACTCCGGGGCAAGAAAAGCTGCTCCGCGTCTCCCTGGTCTGCAGACCAGGAAGACGCGGAGCAAAGCCGCGGAGGGGCTCGGGCAGCTGGGCA